ATTTTTTTGTGCAATAATTTTTCTCTAAAGAATTGTATTTATTAATCTATCTTCAAAACACCTTAAATTAAGATTAACTCCTTGATTGGACCTTTTAAAATATGTATTTTAGCCAGAAGAATAGTTGTATTTATTAACTGTGTGCGGTCTTCATTCACAAGCCCAAATAAAATAGGAAAGGGTGTAAATTTAAATTCAATATTTGCCACCAAATAATTTGCAAAACATTATGATTTGTTTGGAAACATTTTCATTATTAAGATTTTTTTAATTTGAACCTCTTTTCCTTTCTCGTTCTCGATCCTCCTTAGCAACGGTCATTACAGTCCTTGACAGCGGCCTGTTCTACTGGATTTACAACATGTCACATGTTCTGACATGACCAATCAGAACTTTATTTAGCCTCCGTATTGTTTATTTGTGGGTCGCACATTTGTTTTTATTCATTGAGTTGAAAAAGGTTGGGAACCGCTGTACAAGATTATTATTAAAAATGCCTAAACAGCGACACCTGCACGACAGACAAAAGGGGAAAGTGCAGCCTGTGTGAAGTGGTTCTGCCCACCACCACTTCACACAGGCTGCACTTTCCCCTTTTGTCTGTCGTGCAGGTGTCGCTGTTTAGGCATTTTTAATAATAATCTTGTACAGCGGTTCCCAACCTTTNACTGTTTCTTCAACTTGAGGCAGTGTCCACGAGTCCTGGTGTTATAATCCCGTTGTAGTGGGCATGATGTTTTGTAGATTTTAATTAATGACCCAGTGTTCCTTCCGCTATCAAATGCAAAACACCTTCTGTGACATCACTGAAGTTTAAATTCTAAAGCCCTTCACCCCAAAAGGCACAGTGCAACACAAGATAAAAAGAGTAGAAATAAACACAAAAAAGGATAACATCTACAATTTAACGACATAGTTTTAATTAAGCTATTGAATTCAATTAATATCCGTCTTGGTCCAATGAAACTCCTATCTTGGCACAGAAAAAAGACTCAGACCTACTCTCTGATACCAAATATGTGTCTATCATGGCAATCCTATACACTCAGCAGTGGATATCAGTGGCTCTTTTAATTACCCCGATGTGAGAAGCTCCCCGATCTGTGTCTCAGGCAGTTTGTCCTCGTGCTAAGCTGTGGCAGCGGCTCAAACCCAGACTGTGGAAGCAATTGAGCTGAATGAGCTTAATACCCCCAACACACCAATGCTAATGAGATGTGGGACGGGGGCCCAGCAGGTGATCTCCCAGAGTCCCCTGTGTCTGGGCTCCGATCCCATGACCCTGACCAAATCTTGGAAATTACACCACAGAGCGCGATTGTACCATTATGCTTATTATATTCATCCAAAAGCCATTGATGATATTCCTATCATCACTGGCGCACATTCATTGTTGTTAAGCTAACAGGCCGTTGGCTGCCCACAGAACAAATTCATTATGATGACTGTATAAAAGGATAAAGGGCGCCCATCTTCAGCTAAGCAGAGATAATATGGTTAACCATACTTAAACAGATGACTCATCTTTACAATGCATGTTAATAATTCAAATACATTTGCAGAAAACTGGTGAGGGCAAGGAAAGGTAAAATAATTGTGACAAACAAGCAAAGTACAGCCAATGAATATAGGGTCAAATGACACAAGGCACCATATGGCATGCAGTCAGAGCAACTAAACCCCGTGGTACCTTCAGGTCACTCCCATTGAGGCGCATTCTGTTGATTTTCCGACCACTTGGCCTAGTTGAGTCCACCCAATAGATGAATTCCTTCTTGTAGTCGAAGTCTATGTGGATGACGTTGTTGAGGCCCTGAGGGACACAAAGAAGAGAGAAAGCACAATATATATAAAAATGAGAATTTTCATTCAATGACACTAGTAACAATAAGATAATGTTCCAGCAGCCATGTCGTAGATGAGCAACTTGCAGCAGGGTCACATGCTGTGGAAGCATTGACTTTATTTTATTGATTGTTCATGTTTCTTCTAGTGTTTTTTTTAATGTGACGGAGCATAGGGTACTTTCTTAAAGATGTTCCTGTTGTCTATGTTGTTTTAAAACGTGGATACCTTGTCTTTCAACTGCAAACCAAATGTACCTATGGGTATAAATAAATAACCTGAATGTGAGTTCCCTATGAGGGTGAACCAACTATAAAGATACTTTTTCATTGGCAAAAAGGTGAACAATAGTGTCTATGGAATAATTCCTTTCTGAAAGACAATTTATGATGCATTTTAGGAGCAAATGCTTGTAATATACGAAACCTAAAATCTGTTATTAAATGGATTGACTTTAACGGCTGCAGCGCAGTTCATGATCCGTACTTGTGTCTAACAGATATGCTCCTTTTTTAATCAATACAAGTGTTTACTGCTATGTGGTTGAACGCACAAAGCAAATCTGTACTGTATGTATCAAGGCAATTATCTTCCTTCAATTTCATCAGTTTTACATGTAACTACAGAACAGTGATGTGTGTTCTAAGAACAGATACCCTTCACTTAACAGTTCCTCTTCAAATCCTGAATGAGGATTGAAACTGCTGATGTGTGAACGCTCAGTTCTTTCTCTTTAAAATGCAAGTCAATACAAAACCAATCCATGGAGGTACAAATTAAAAACATATTTGAAATTCCTAAAAGGTGGATAGGCTAACATGATGAGAAACATATACAAACAAGCCCAACTTCCACAGTTTCTGTTTGTGTTGTGTTATTTACTTCAGAAGCACTATTGATTCAGGTGGGTTCCCCATAGGTTGCAATGCGTTCAGCAATACATAGCACTTGAAGAGCCAGTGAAGCCTCCAGTTCTCGTGGAAGGTGAAGTCCTATCAAAGCAGGAGAGTGAGGTACTTCCATTCTCTGTCATGCTCACATGACCCCACTGTCAGTCAGATGGAGCTGCTCACCAAACGAGTGCCCCCACCCTGCTCTCTCTCACCGTGGGTGCAGACAAAAGGTGTCAGATAATCTGACAGGCGAAATGAGACATCTTCATCAGATCATCAACAACCTCACAGACAGGTGGGAAAGGGTCCACGGGGACTTCCTTTTTCTCTCCAAACATCAGCCTAAGAGATAGAACCTGCATGCCCCTTTTATCAGTGTATCTTTCCCTCCCCATTCATTCTCCAGGAAGAAACTATACGGACCAACAATCTAGAAAATGTTAACAGTCTTGAGATAACAGATTCTGAAAATGGATGCGATTTTAATTCTATGAATACTATAACATCTATGTATCTATCCATCTATCTATCTATCCATCTATCCATCAATCCATCCATCCATCTATCTATCTATCTATCTATCTATCCATCCATCCATCCATCCATCCATCCATCCATCCATCTATCTATCTATCCATCCATCAATCCATCCATCCATCTATCTATCTATCTATCCATCCATCTATCTATCTATCCATCTAGACATCAATCCATCCATCCATCTATCTATCTATCTATATATCCATCCATCTATATATCTATCCATCAATCCATCCATCCACCTATCTATCTATCTATCTATCTATCTATCTATCTATCTATCTATCTATCTATCCATCCATCCATCCATCCATCCATCTATCTATCCATCCATCCATCCATCTATCCATCAATCCATCCATCCACCTATCTATCTGTCTATCTATCTATCTATCTATCTATCAATCTATCTATCTATCTATTCATCCATATATCTATCTATCCATCCATCCATCCATCCATCCATCAATCCATCAATCCATCAATCCATCAATCCATCCATCCATCCATCCATCCATGGCCCACAAACCCTTATTTTTGCTGGAATACACCTATCTATCTATCAACTACAAACTGTGTGTTGTTACCGAAATTCACAGTGAAACCACGAGCGGCCAACAATAAATTCAATCACCTAGCAACTCACTTGTGTGAGATTTGTTTCCGTTTCTGCTAGTGTTGTGAGTATACAATTACTACGGCCAAATTAAACTAATAAATGGGTAATGACTTCAGACGTTCAACTTTAAAAAAACAAGTGCCAACTGCCAACATAGGCAACAATATATAGATATGTGGGTAATCCAACTAATTAACCAAAGCAAACCAATAATACAAAGTAAGACAACAAAATCAAACACACCGAATGTGTTTAAAAAAAGTGGAGGAGGGATTATTGCCATTGATTGTGGTGGGAAGTCACATTCATGCTTACAGCCAAAGCAATGCATAAAACATACCTAATAGCATGAACATATCATCTGAACAGGGGGTTCTAATGGTGTGGTAAAGTGATATGAGGTCAGTAAAGTATCCACCACCACTTAGTAAAGCCATCTGCATATTTCCCTCTCTAGCTTCTATTAACGCTAACACATAGTGATTAAAGTGAGTTGTGGCTGATGAGAACTCCGATACAGACACTAGAGTACATGGAGTCAGGAGGTTAATTCGACTGTGAGAGGAGACTGCAGGATACCCCAAGGCAGATTTACAGTAAATCACAGCCAACCATTTGTGATAATCAACAGTCAGATTCAAGCATCGCCATGAGCAGCTGTGATGACACCTAGGAATGATTGAAATAGCTTTTCCACAGGGTCCTCTGTCAAGTGATTTTACTCTCAGACAATCAGGGGGTTCGGGAGATAGCTCCTTGAGGATGAGGGTTTTAACCACCTACATGTATGCACAGATTTTTTTACAATTTTTACCAATTTTACAATAGGGAGGCAGACAGCATTTCCACATTTAAGAGTAGGTTAAAGTACTTCCTTTTTAATAAGGCCTATAGTTAGAGCTGGTTCCAGGCTTGCCTACAACATCCTTATAGGTCCTTATCCTTATTTCAATTTATTTTATTTGTACGTCATATTTTATTTAATAGATTTTTTTTAAACTTTATTTTATTAGTATTTTATATCCCATCTTGTAATTTTTTTAAATTCTTGAAATGAATTTGTTCATTGTCATTTGTGTTTGTTGATCTGTAAAGCCCCCTGAGACATGTGTATTGTGATATTGGGCTATATAAAGAAAATATGATTTCATTTCATTTTACAGAGTAAAGCTAAATGTATTAGAATAGAATAGAATATAATTCCTTTATTGTCATCGCACCAGGTACAAAGCAATTTAAAAAAGCAATGAAGTATTGTTTGATAAAAGGCATTATTTTCAGTAAAAAGGGTATATCTTCAAGATTCAATATTTTCATATGCTTCCTCAGATTAAGAAAGGAACAGAGGGTACATAGACTAGAACCCACCGATTTAATGAAAATGTTTAGTTTTTCAATAGTATATTATTATTATTATTATTATTATTATTCCTAGGACATTTTACAGCAGCATCCGTGCCTTCCCCAACATTTGTTGTCCACCATTTCTAAAACAAAACATTGCTTTCGCTATTCAATAAGGTCACACTTGCGATATCTTTCGATGCCCTCTGCAAAGGTACTGTTTCTTCACACTGACTAAAATATGTGTTTAAATATATGTATATATATATATATATATATATCTGACACTGGTAGTTTAGAAAGGAAAAAACTTAAAGAAGACAAGATGGTAATTCCAATATCAATCTGTTGATGCCTCTACGCAGTATATCAATCTGATAATGGCGAACAATCATCGTCTATCCTGTGTTCAATTTCACTACAGGCACTATGGCGGTGATGCAGAAAGCGCTTACCTGTTTCAAGATGGTGTAATTTGAGCCATCCACGCTCAGCTTCCTGATCTCATGGTGGTCCGCCATAATGAGAAAAGGCTCTTCAGCTGAAATGAGGAACATGTAGTGTTAGAGAACCAATGGGACTTGCAGTCCCTCACTGGAATTATGCAAGTGTAGAGATGAAAAAGACTGACCTGTCAGAGCCTTGCATGTGTTGGGGTTTCGGTCCAATGCTTCGTAGCCATCCACACACAGGCATTTGTAAGAGCCGTAAGTGTTGATGCAGCGCTGGCTACAAGGAAGGGTAGTGGAGCATTCGTCAACATCCACACATGTCTTCCCATCATCCTTCAGGTGGAAACCAGGCCAGCATTTACACTGATGACATATAAAACAGAACAAATGTTAGGGTTAGGGGTTAAAACCAGAAAGAAGCGACCATCTTCATATAACTCCTGAATAGTGAATGGTAGAGTCATGGAAATTGGTGTATATGTTTTTCTCCTCCCTTCTCTTCAGTGTGCCGAGTGGCGCCCATAGCTAATTAATTTGATCTAGCTCCCCATATAGTAACATAAGGGAGCATCTGCATATAACTCCAGAACGCTAAATTGTAGAGCCATAAAAGTGTGTGTCCATCATAGTCTACTCCTACTGCTTAAGTGTAGGACATTTGACATTTCTATCTGTTTCCTTTGATATAGCTGCCAGTGGACCCCCATTCTAAAATATTCTGAAAAGTGTTACAACTTATGATATCTCGTTAAGGGAAGGTTGTAGCAACTCGGGACCAAGACTGGCATGTTCAGGGTGGCCAAAAACCACCCTATACACCAGTATTTCCAGTTAATTGGACCCTTAGTTCCTGAGTTATGAAGAGCTCCTGCTGGGGTTAGGTTGGGGTTAGGGTAATTTGTAAGTGAGACTTGATCATGAATTTCGGGAATGGAAGACAAGAGCCTTCTTTCTCTCTTTTAAAAAAATGATTATAAAACAAACCATTTGAGTTCTTTATACAAGCGTTATTGTAGCTATGCTATTCAAGCAGTGCACCTATTCATGCTGTGCTTTTACAGTCATTTTAGATCCATTTCTAACAACAGACAATTTATTTCAGACTCCAGTACCTTTGCCTCAAAGGAATGCAGGTCAGCACTGACAAATATCTTAAACCCTCGCATCCGAACATGACATCAAAGCTGTGATACATACTGTACCGTGGCTCAACAAATCCAATCGCACTTCAGTTACCAGGCCCCCCCTCCCCCTCAAATAACTCAAAGTGCTTGTATCAGCTGCTATGGACCCAGAGCAAATCCCTTTCTTATCCACAGTTATAACCTTGAGGGCCTTTCTGCTGATCTTCCTGTTCAGGCCACCAATGGATGAGCTAAGGGTCTGCATTGATGTGCTCCCTGTACGGCTCTGCCCCTGACATGACAGGAAAGAGAGGTTTTCTGTGATTTCCACCAGTTTTCCGATGCAGTGAACACCGTCTCATGGAGGAGTAAGAGAGGTGCAATACAGAGACGAAGATATAAACTGCTGCAGGACGATAAAAGTGCAGCCAATGGAGTTCTCCAGTGGACGTGGCCTTGACCTGGATTCAATCCTATCATCACATGCCACCAATGCCAGGCACGGCACAATTGCCCGGCACCATGAGGAGGCACAGAAAAAAGTTGGCATATCATCAGACTCTCCTTACAGCATTCAAGGTTATTTAAAAAGCAACAAGCTTAACCTATATATGCTCCGAACCATTTTCATCTCATCAATTATGTGCAAAGTAAGGCTTGATTTATTATCACTAACACATCATCAATGCCCACCTTCTACTAATGATGCTATAGCTTAGAACTCTGGTCAGTATGATATCAAATGTTCCACTGTAGTCATTTTCTTTATATCTGAATATTATGTTGCAAGTCACAATGTGGGAAGTAGGCCACATAAAAGCTGGGATTCATGTCTACAATTTAACACAGTGGGGTCACAGAGTTTGCATTTGGAAGGCAGTTTGCTTTTGCACCAAACCACAGTGACAAGCTCGTAGCTTGTTCGGAAAATGGTTGAATTTTCAGCTTTTACTGGAGGAATAAGGCTGTAGCCAGCAAGTCATTCAGAGGAGGAATGTACTTTGGAGCAACTGAAGCGTGACTAGTCCACTGGTCATTTACCTTGTATCCCACAGGAAGATCTTGGCAGTCCTGAGTGCACCCACTGATTCGACGGTTCAAGCATTCGTTAACATTACAGTTTCTCTCATCCGACCGGTCTCCACAATCATCTCTGCCATCACAGAGGTTTCCCTCGGAGATGCAGCGTCCATTGGAGCACATGTAGAAGGAGCCGTTGCACAAGCTTCCTGAAAAGAGCAAGATATGACTGTCACTGGCACGAAGCCCTGTAATTTATCATCAAAGTTTGGGGAATGTTTTTGACATTTTCAAGATAGCTCTCCCGGTTTTAGTGCCTTTTCTATCCGCCACATGTCCCCGGCAGTTTGCTGGGCGAGTAATACTGCTGGTGACACTGATGAAGGGATTCCAGAAGCAAGCCAAGCAGCAGTCTTACCTGCGGCCAGACATTTGAGGTTCAGAGGCAGTTCGTCAGAGTGGTCGGGACAGTCTGCGTAGCCGTCACACTCCCACTGAGAGCTGAGGAGACAGCGGCCGTCCCCGCAGCGAAACTCTTCTGATCCACAGGAGCGGTAGGCTGAAGGAAGAAAGACAGACGTTTTTCATCAAGTTACACTGGGTCTGACACAGCTTCAGATGGAACAGAATTAAGTTCACATAGTGAAAATAAGCTTTTTCACTGCCATTGTTCATATTTCAATGAAGCACTCTCATAGAGCCATTTGGAGGTGTAATGGTGTGCACAGCTGCATCGGACAGTATTTCAATTAAAGTATAAATGTTTCATCAGCCCAAGAAATCACAGATCAGTTCTCTGGCAGAAAATGCCCTCTAGTTCAGACACCAAAAATGGTATATACCCAAATAAAAATCTGGGTGTCATTTTTTCATAATAAAATTAAAACGATATATCAAATAAGAGAAACTAAGACCAGTCCAGCCTGTTCTACAATAATCTAGCTTTAGAGCACCTCGTTTGAGCATGTATTTAAATGAGATATTATATATTAAACCCTTTATACAGATAATCACTCCATCCTTTCAATCAATGTTTCTTCATTTCATATATTTGCATCAATAACTGGCAAAGGTACGGGGAATGCAATAATGGAATAAAAAACTGTTTCGACCAATTATTATTATTTTGCATTGTAATGTGATTTCCTGACTTCCTGTAATGTTTGTTATCAAACGCACGCACAATGAATTAACATTCATTTATTTCCTTTTGGTCTGGGGAGTGCCTTTATTAGAGACCAAGAGGTGGAAAGGGGATAACATTGCCCTGAAATGTTCCCAAATTGGGAATCAAACCTGCATATGTGGTGGCAGACACATGGGCCGCCAGCTCTAACCACTGAGTTATACTGCAGCTCTAAATCAAAGTCCGGTACTTCATGTAACACAATCGTGCCACATATTTGAACCAGATTTTATTCTAGGCTTCACTTACTTCACTGGTCTATTTGACCCTTATTCACTTAGTCTTTTCATTCCATTTAATAACTGTCTCCTACCACAGAGAACCCATTTTCTTGAGGAAGACTGTGCAAATGTGCAGTTATCAAACCATTGAAAAGATTGTCTACCATTTCTAAGTTAGGAAACTATCTAGTGCAACTTCTTTTGAAAAAAGACATATTCATATACCATTGGTGTTTATTACAAGCAACATAACTATACGAACCACATTCCACCGACTCATCAGACCCATCTCCACAGTCGTCATCGTGGTCGCAGACGAATCGCTGGGGGATGCACGCTTTGTTGCGGCAGCGAAACGAGCTGTCATCACATGTGTTGTTGGGTGCTAATGCATGAAAATAAATGGTTTCAAGAGGCTAATCAACGGATAAACATTTTTTCTTCTGAACATGGTAGGCTTCCTCGGTGTGTAAAATGTCAACTTTCGTGAGCCTTATGCTTCTGTGATTGAAATTGTTCCTCCACTATTGAATCAAAGAAAGACTAGAATGAACAATTACTTTTGAATGGTTCAGGACCAATTTGTGGAAGGCAATCAAGATTATGCCAGCTAGAGAAGGCTGACATTTTACAAGAACTTCCTTTGTGCTATTTTCTTAAACTAAAGTTGTCTTCTTTTCCTGCTTGGAATAAAAATATGCAAACTAATTTACAGTACAGTCGGCGTTTTTTCAGTTTTTCACAGTTAGATATTAAGTTCTACACAACTGAAACCAAGCAACAATTAGCTTTTTTATGGGAATTCTGGGATAACATTATATTTGTTGTTGCTGCAGAGAAGATATCAATATGTAAAACCAGAGTTTAGAGCTTACCGCAGCCAGCTGCAGACAGCTCGTCGCTCCCGTCGGGGCAGTCCCTTTCACCATCACAGAGCCAGCGTTTTGGAACACAGGCGTATGACCCGGGGCAGCTGAACAGCCCAGGAGCACATGTCACTAAGCCTGAGAGGAAAACAAGGCCACATGCCCAACACAATAGGTCAAACGCAATACAGAGAGAAATATGTACAAGCCCGGTATACTTAAACAAAGTATATTAATTTGTACTTGTTCGGATAGTAATTTAACATTTATCTGTAACGCCAATAGATCACAGCAGTTTTTCAACCCTCATGGGAGCAGTGCTCATATGTATTACTAAAGTAAAAGTAGCAAAACTACAGTGTTAAAATATTTTGTTACAAATAAAAGTCCTGCATTCCATTTGTACTCAGGTAAAAGTATAGGCATCAATATAAAATGTGGTGATTTCCCTTTCCTGTAGTTTGTTATATAGGCTTTTGTAAATGGTCTGCACAAATCCCAAAGTTCCCTCCAGTAGGGATTTTCTCTCCAATACACTCCTCCCTCCAATCCTTTGTTTACATCCCTTACATAGTGACATCACATTACTTGTCAATACTGTGGGCAGTCCCCACAGGAGCAATTTTGGGAGAAGTGTCTTGCCCAAGGACACAACGTCATGCTGACTGCAGTGGGGAGTGAACCAGTGCTCCCCTGATCCGAAGATCAGCGCAATTACCCACAGCCTCCCTGTCACTATGCAACTCTCACACTTCTATTGGCTAGCACTCTGACACATTGTATGTGATAGGCTAAGGGGTGGGAAATCTCTGAGCAGTTGAGAAATCCCAACAGAGCAAGCCCGCTAACCAATCAGAGCAGACCGGGCTCTGGTTTCAGAGAGAGGGGGAAAAGAGGTGCAGTTCCCCTTGTGCATGCCAACAAATAATGATTGTGCCGTTTTAACATTTTCAATGTTTCGCTTGTATTCTGTAAGTCAGCAATACTGAGCTTTTACATTAGAGCTTAAAAAAGAAAAACATAGCTGCACTGAGATATAAAGGTAGATACAGAAGTTCAATTAGGCATGCCTAGCCAAATGCATGTCTTCTTTTTTTTTTGTACCATGAAACCTTTGGGCAATTGCATTCATATTTCCTCCACATCCCATTACAATCCAATCACGCAACAAATGTTCACAGCAATGTTGGTCGCTTTATTGTGGTTGGATTGCTTTTATTTTATTTCAGAATTCATTACGTACACATCTCATTTGCCCATTGAAATAAAAAAGCTGTGCCCCTCGGGTCTCGGTGATGAGAAATGTATTTGCCTCAGTGCCTACTTGAATCATTAGAAAGACCTGCGGACTAATTTGGTGTCTCATTAAGATTGTTTCAATTCTGTCCATTTGTTTTCAAGCTCTGTTACAGTGAACACATGGAGGTATGCAGCGCATGTGACCTTTTACACCCACAGCAGACTCCTCAAAACATCTGAAAGGGACACTTACCGCAGATCTGCACGCTCTCGTCCAGGCCATCCTCACAGTCGTTCTCGCCATCACATAGCCATTGTTTAGCTATGCATTTGTTCTTCGAGCAGGCGAACTGGTTCCACAAGCATGACGAGTCTGCAGAGGGCAGAGGGAAAGACGGAAAGACATTTCAATGATATAAATCAATCAAAAATAAGGAGGAAACAACAGCAAAGGTGATATACTTTATAGTAGGGGCAGAGGGTTTTTTAAATCGTGACACAACAATTGGGTTAGCTTCTATTTGCCCCGTGGCTTGCTTCTTTTACTTTTTTTCCAATTCGCAGCAAACATGAGCTGCCACGACAAACACTGTTTGTTTCACAGAAGACATTTTGATTAAAGCTCCTGGTTTCTGTTCATCCGGGGAAATTAAAACATCAACTGAACACAAAACAGAGTCTTTATTAAATATTGTATCAATAACAAAGCAAGTATTCACTATTTTGTTCTCTTATTGTAAATTGAAAAGAAACTAAGCTGCTGGGGGTGACAAGAAACAGTTGGGTGTCAACTCGGCTGTTCAACGTGCTAAAGCCGTTGTGTGAAATGTGGATTTATTCATAATCTGCGCTGAGTTTGTTTCACTGAGCCACCCACTCTCCCTGGGAAGCCGTTTCTCTGGTCTCTGTCTCTCAGATGTAAGGCCTAGCAAAGACGGCAGGAGCTTTGAAGAGATGTGGAGGGAAGGAAGGGGTAATGTGTGCTTCAGGTCACATCAGTTCAAGGAAAACTGAGGGTGGGGGGTAGGTACGGGGAGTCTCTCTCACTGCGTTGCTTTCCTTCCTTTCGGACTTTGTAAATCCCACCAGCTTTCTACGTGCTTTGATACGGTGTTGTGAGATATGGATAAGATAAAAATTAAATGGCTAAATCTGGAAAAGCATGATTATGAAGATGGAATTTGCATTTCAATCAGCTGCTTCAAGTGTCTAACAAAAAAACAGGTCTGTAGCACATTACATGTATCAAAGAGAGACTTTCATGTCTCACTTTCAATAGTTTTTCACTGAGAAGAAAAGCGCATTATCTGTTGTGGAGTGACAAATGACTGTTTCATCTTATCACATGAGGAATTTCAAATTCTTTCTGAAATGTAATGACATTTTCCTCAAACCACTTTGCCGTCGCAATCAGATAATCGGTGGCTGGAGCGTTTTATATGGTAATTAACCCAGAGGAATGGGAATATTGTCTATTTTGCCTGAAAAAGCTATTCAGAACTTCTCAAAGAATCGTGGCGAAATTCATATCGGCTCTGATATAAGCGCATTTGAAGCATGGGATGTTATCATTTCACACGGGCACAAATGACATTTTAAGATAAAGGAATGGGAAAGCTGTTCATGTGTTATGCATCTCTCTAACAACATTCATGGCCAATTTACTCAATAAATCAGATAACTTGAAGAGCGTTAAATATGAGAACCGGATATCACTGCACAGTGTTGCACTGTGCTGCAAACATATGTTGCAAGTGGAATGTGAACAAATGTGCTGGTTCATTATACAGGAAGCAGTCAAGTGAGAGAACTGTAACTTCTCTGCCCAAAACTCAAAGGCAAAGACTTCAAAGATCTATGGTCATATTTTGTTATTCTTCTTGAAAAAAGTCCCTTATCGGCCTCCAACTACCAGAGTCTGGATGGTTTGAAGGCTAAATTAATCATACATAAACACGACATACTAAAAGCTCTGTGAGGCTGTACTAACGTATAGCGGTCTCTCAAGCTAAATGTTAATGTCAGCACGCTAACATGCTCATAATGATAATGTTAACATGCCTATATTTGGCAGGTGTGATATTTTACACATGTTGTCCCTATCTTAGTTCCGTGTGGTAGCATGCTAACATGTGCTTGTTAGAAATTAATACTTAGCACAGCTGAGGCTGATGGTGATGTCACACAGTCAAGTGGGTACACATCTGACGGGGTACTGACGTGAACAAGATTTTATGAACCAAATGTTCTGGCAATCAATTCCATAATAGTTTTGACTGCAAAACAAGAATGACAACTAATGGGATTAGTAAATTCAAGAGGATAAGTTGCCTGGGAACCCTGAAGCTCTGTACGGAGTGTTGTACCAACCCATTATCTATCAAGTGGAGATATTTCTTTGCAAGTATTATGTTTGACCTACTGGTGCTATATGAAAGGTCAAGGGTTCACCCAAGATATGATATAGTATATAACAGCGGTTCCCAACCTTTTTCAATTCAGGGCCCACTTAAGAATCAAAAATATTTTTGCGGCCCACATTCAACCATAAACAATACGGAGCCTAAATAAAGTTCTGATTCAATTCAGAACATGTGACACGTTTTTAAATCCAGTAGAGACCGCTGTCAAGGACTGTAATGGCCGTTGCTAAGGAGGATCAAGAAAGGAAAAGAGGTTAAAATAAAAAAAAATCTTAATAATGAAAATGTTTCCACACAAATCATAATGTTTGGCAAATTATTTGGCGGCAAATGTTGAATTTGCATGTACACCCTTTCATATTTTATTTGGGCTTTTAAATGAAGACCGCACACAGTTAATAAATACAACTATTCTTCTGGCTAAAATACATAATTTTAAAAGTCAATCAAGGAGTAATCTTAATTTTAAGGTGTTTGAAGAGTAGATTAAAAACACAATTTCTTTTGAAAATAATTATTGCCACAAAAAATCAAAGGGTGGCTGAACACGCCATGAAATA